GACAACGAGGGGATCCTATTGTAGGGGTCCCAGGGCCAATGGCGCGCGCACGTGTTTGGCTCCGGTATCGCGCGTCTGGCTGCCGTCGCCGTTAATGGCCAGCGTCTGGTGTATCCACGCGGGCGGCTGCGCATCTGCGGATTAGGAGAAGGCGAGGGTGTGTGGGTCCATCGTTTTTTTTTTTTTTTTTAATCCTGGATCGTTGCTTTGATGGATTTGCCGTTATTGGCACTTTCGAAGAGCCTTGACGACGAGCAATGGGGATGAGTTTGCGCGCACGTGGAGAAGACACTAATTATTGGGTACGATAGCACAGGCTTAAGTCGAACGAGCCACGAGATATATCGTTTGCTAATTAAACTTCACGTTACTAGTCGGTATTATATGTTTTATCCATTGGGAGGTAAGTGATGGGTGGTTGAGGAGTGGCAGGAGGGGTATGAGGGTATGAGCGAATGAGCGATAAAGATTCCAATGGACTGGACACATTGCTCATCATTACAAGCGTAATTGGTTTGATAATTACATGAGGTTTCTTACACATTTTATTTAGGCTACAAACTTATTGTTATTGACGATATGTGGTGTTTTCATTTCCTTATAATTATCAAGTGGATATAATGCGCTCCTTTCGCCGTATACGTTTGCACGCTTTGATCCTTCAATTAATTAACCAACACAATGAGAAAGCTAAACAAACATGAGCGAATGTTTCAAAACGCGCGAAGGGGGTATAAAAGCCATTATATCGAGCGCCATTTGATCGACACTCCATGTTTATTATACAGGCTTCAACAATTGCGCGCTTTGCACAAACGAAAAAGCACCTAATGAAATATTGGCTCTCGGTAGTGCGTCGCTCTCTGCCTCTTGTTCCTTCTCACTCTCTCGCGTCATCTTTCTCTCCCTCATCCACGTCAGATTATCCACTCGGGAGTATAGGGCTTTCGCGTGTTTCGCAAAGCGGCAATTTCGTCGCGCTCATACGAATAGCACCATAGGTCCTATTCGAACACACTCGATTCAACGACGAGTCAATGAGAAAGAAAGATAGAAAGAAAAAACGAATAGCAGTGAGAAAGAGAGATTGCGAGCGGGAAGGGCGGCGGAGGGGGGGGGCGGGATCAAAGTGGGAGAAAGTGAGGCGAACGAACAAGGAGCAAATAGCGCAGACGGAGAGAGAAAAGCTGCATAGGGCGCGAAAAGAATGGAGCGGCGAGTAAATCAGAATCTGAGAGAGTGAAAGGGGTTGTTTTTATGGTACGCAATGTGTGCAGGGGGACGCGAGAGAAAGCTTTGGGGGACCGAAGATGGATAGATGGATAGATGGATAGATGGATAGATGGATAGATGGATAGATGGATAGATGGGTAGATGGATAGATACAGATAGAGAGAGGAGAAAGTGAGGCAGCAAAAGAGAAGGTGGTCGGGTAATAGGGAGAGGAGCTCGCCGTTGCAAATTTCGAAATCCGCGCGTCGATAAAGCAATTAACGCAAACTCGATGACGAGGCCCGCAGCCTGGTGGACTCATCCTAGTTTTTAATTTCTTGTGCACGAATATGCTAATGGAGTGGGAGGGGGTGGGGTGGCCTCATGTCACGGACGTAAAATGCTTGGATATATGGTCGGGTAATTTCTTAATCGTGCCCGAAGGAGGCGGGATGGCGGCGGACCGCGGCGCCAATTCTCCACGTTTCTTTTCTTACTTTCGCTGGATTATTACTTATGCGTTCCTCGCTCCTTTCCCTGGCCATGCGAATTCGCAGGCGATAAAACTTTATTCTCACGAAAACATGTGTTTTATGCTTAAGAAACCAGCCATAAAGATCGTTATCTTAAAGTGGCTTTGGCATTTTAACAAATGACGATTCTTATTGAATTTTGATTCCCTTGTATTATCCTATACACATTAAGTATTCGTGTATCAAACGTCATTATAAAAAAAAGCCTTAATTTATTGGCCTCGGACGGGCGAGTTTAGCCAATGGCGATTATTGACTTTTAAAGCTGTCGATCTATAATTCTATGCGCGTTACAATTTGGCTAAATATCTAAAAGTAACGGCTTCATGGAAATTCAAAGATTATTTATCATTGATCGTAATCGACTAATAATCAGAGTGGACCGCGCACGTCGTCATTTTCGTCGTCGTCTCTCTCTCTCTCTCTCTCTCTCTCTCTCTCTCTCTCTCTCTCTCTTACGTCCCGTGACGACTCTGCGACGTCTAGGAAACAATACGACCACGGCTAATCGATATCCAAGTTATTACAATCGTGATTGTAAATAATCGGCGACCTAATCGTTCCCCCAACCTAAAACGACATAATTCCTCCCAGCCCTATATAATAAACAAATTCCTTAATCGCGAAAAATATGCTATTATAATAATACGGTACCCATCGACTCCGACATCGGTCTCCTCGACTCGACCAATCACACGCACTTTTGACATGTATTAAAGACATAATTATAATTATAATGCGCCGTGAAGGGTCGG